TTAAAATAGATTTTTATTTTTTATTTTAACCATGAGTAGAACTGCATTTACAGAATCTTGAAAGTTATCCGGTAATCCAGCCGATCCAAACGTTATTTTCATAGTACATAAGTAACCAAATTTCGATCACACCATTCATATTTTAATTGTAATTGAAAGTTTCGATTTGCCACGTTGTCGGCGGTGAAGGAAATTATCGCGGGGAAACCTGCATATTTGAGAAGTTATTATGAGAATGATGAGAAATTATAAGAATATTTCGGAAATCATTTTTAAGTATGCTTATGTGAAGTCGATCAACTCGCGTTGAAGTCAACTTTTTTTTATCCTAAAACTCGCTTCGGCCTGTCCCCACTAGTGGGATGTATGTAGGCTGCTACTTTTTTACTTTTAATAGGCCTATCCACTGCTGATCATAGGCCTCTCCGATTGTTTGTCAAATTGGCCGGATATTTGCAGCAGTAGCTACACTTGTCAAGTAGTTTGACAACCGCAGCTTTTTATTACTCTGCACTGTTATCAGGAAGATACAGATACATTTATCAGGATTTTTAACAGTGGTAGAGCCATGCGGCAGCTTTTGCTGCCACACGGATGGGCTAGCTCGAACCGGGGTGGTACCACGACCTCACAGAAAACCAGCGTGAAGTAGAGGTTTACCTCTGCGTTTCGCTTGGTGAGTGCAGGTGGCCAGAGGCCCTTTTTACTGGAAATGAGGCATTCCATCTTAGTCCTCACGGGTGACAACGCATCTACATTTTGATTTGTAATAGAGGATAGATGTAGATGTCTATGGGCCGCAGCAACCACTTACCATCAGTAAGACTGTGTGCTCGTTTGTCACCCTTATCCTATAAAAAAAAGCCACCCATCTCCTGTTTCAGATCCCTTCTGTCGCCTCTTACGACACCCACGAGACGAAATGGGGTATTGGTTTCTATTTTGCCGCCTCTACATTACTAATATATTTCTACACCCGTTCATCATTTCAATTCCCACCACAGATTACGAAATGATTTGGATATTAGCCGTTGTTGCCACGCTTGGCAGGCGGGATGCCAACTGCATTTTTATTATTTTGAGCTATAATCAGATAGACGCTGCTGCCCATCTTCTCTATTTTTCTACTCCCGTTCATGAATATAGTTCCTCTCACACGTTCATAGTGATTAGAACTACGTTTATGAAATTTTAACTTTAATGGAAGTAGTGTTAATGGTATTTCTAAATAGAGCCAACGCGAGCAAAGCAGCGGGTAAAAAACTAGTGTTTAATATGTTATTTGATAGTCAATTCTTCGATTACAAGGTTACGTCACGCTGTGATTATTTGCGATAATTTGAACTAGCCTATTCATTTTTTTCTGCACAATAACAACGACAATAACATCTCTGCTATCGACATTTTTAAAAAATAAACAAAGATACGAAAAATAAAATTTATTGTAACAATTTTGACAGAATAGATAATATATAGCAGATATCCGATGTCACTACGTCTTCCAGTTCTTGCAATGATTTTTTATAAACGTAACTGCAAACATGTTTTGACTAACGCACCCATAGCTACAATGTCTTCTTATTACGTTATAAGCAAAGTGATGAGAATTTGTAAAAGCGAACACCTGTGGAATAAATATTACGCTCTTTAAAAACTTTAATAAAATTACCTACATAAGATATGTTATATATTATGCTTTCTTAATTTTTCAGCTCCACATCACTCATGCAATCGGATCATTTATGACTGTTTTTTCTTATTTACTTACATCTTTGAGGTTTTTATGTATCATTTTATTTTCTCTATCAAAACTGTATGAGTGTAAATTGCTGAATAAATGCATGTCTATGTCTATGCCTAAAATGTATATGCGTTCTTTCCTCTGATTAGAGGATTAAAACGCAATACTCCGTGACGAGTTTTTTACTCTAGGTCTTCGGTTCTCGTCACCATACTTAACTCCGTATTAGGTGTGAGCGGTTTGAGCGTGATACTTCCTCGGTCGAACCAAACGATTTGTGCTGCAGCTATGTCTATGTGTTTCGTAAATATTTTGAAAACGTCTAGCAATCGTGACTGTTGCTTCAGTATTAGTAGTGTTTCGGGCGTCGCAATCGATCTATGAGAGTTTGGGAATAGAGCGTACACTGTTTGCCCATTCACACGTGCACTATAATCCTGTGTCCGATGGGACTGGCTACCGAGTTCCTTCTAGAGGACCTTATTACGAACTGATAAAGAAGAAAGATGGACAAGCTAAGTTATAGTGTCTTAGCAACTAAGTTAGATATGAACGTTAATACAAACCTGTAGGATTTATTCGCGTTTCGAATTTGCCCTCAAGGCCAAAAAGTGTAGTTTCGTCATCTTTGTAGAGATCCTGTCACAGAAGTAATATTACAAATGATTTTCTAATAACTTTCACTATTAAAGTATTATTATTTATTTTCTTTCATTACAGCCTAGGAAAAGTCAAGTAAAGGTAAAATGTATTTAGGGTAATTTTCCACAGTTGCCACACTTGGCACGCGGGTTGGTAACCACGGTTTTTTATATTTTGAGTTGTTGTCAGGAAGTACGTGGTAGATCCATGCTGCAGCTATATTAGTAGTAACTATAGTTGTAGCACGAATGGGTCTGCTCGACCGGGGAAGGACCACGCTCTCACAGAATACCAGCGTAAAGTGGCAGCTTGACACTGCTGTGTTTTATATGGTAGTAGAGAACCGGAGACCCTTTTTACTGGAAAAGAGCCATTCCATCTTAGTCCTCACGGGTGACGACGTATCTGCATTTTGATTCTTTATTGAGGATAAATGTAGATTTCTATGGGTCACAGCACCCACTTTCCATCAGGTGGACTGTGTGCTCGTTTGTCAATTTATCCTAGTACTACTACTATATTTATAAAATTAAAAAATAAACATATTTTTTAATGTTGAGAACTTAGAAAATTGAGATTCCGCAATTAATACGAGACTTTGAGAGATTTCATAACTTAGAACATTAAAAAGTTGCTAGATAGTTTTTCACAGTTTGGTATTGGCTCCTTTCCAGTTAGAATCATTACCATTACAGCCTATAAAAGTCCACTGCTGAACATCGGCCTCCCTCATAGATTGCCTCATGGGATTTTGCCATAGTTGCCACGCTTGGCAAGTGGATTATCAACCGCAGTTTTTTATTATTTTAAGTTGTGCTGCTGCTCAACTCCTGTTTCATTTTCCCTCTTTCGCTTCTTACGACACCCTTAAGACAAGTACAAATATCAATAAGTATATCTCCAGGTTGGAGCTTCACGATCTGGATGCCGGTGTTGAGCTGATTAAATATATCTTTAATGTATGGGAGAATTCACAGGATGCTTTGGGTATATTTTGTGACCTATCCAAGGCCTTCGATTGTGTTCACCATGAAACATTAATCAGGAAACTTCAACACTACGGTGTAAGAAGTGATGCCCTTAAATTAATTATTTCATATTTAAGTAAGAGAACGCAAAAAGTTGTCATTAACAATATGAGCTCTTCCGGATCGATGGTACAAATGGGCGTGCCTCAAGGCTCAATTCTCGGCCCCTTTCTGTTTCTTGTATACATTAATGACTTACCTTACATAGTAGGGGATAACCATGATATAGTATTATTTGCAGATGAAACTTCTTTAATTTTCAAATTAAGTCGACAGTTACTAAAATATGACGAAGTAAATAATGCTATCTCTAAATTAGTAAATTGGTTCGATGTTAATAATTTGCATTTAAATGGCACTAAAACAAAATGTATGAAATTCGTGACTCCAAATGTCAAACAATTAAATACTAATGTAATTTTAAATGGGGAGAAACTGAGTCTTGTAGATACCACCATTTTTCTTGGAATCACACTAGACGCGAAGCTTCAATGGAGCCCCCATATATCAAAACTAGCAAGCAGACTTAGTTCTGCAGCATATGCTGTAAAAAAGATTAGAAGTTTAACCAGTGTTGAAACAGCTATACTAGTTTACTTCAGCTACTTCCATAGCATAATGTCGTATGGTATTTTGCTATGGGGACACGCAGCTGACACTGAAATTATATTTGTTTTGCAGAAGAGGGCCATAAGAGCAATTTATGATTTAAAGCCTAAAGAGTCGCTGCGACAAAAATTTAAGGAAATTAATATATTAACTTTGGCTTCTCAATACATTTATGAAAATGTAATGTACGTACACAAAAATAAAAGTAGTTTTACAAAAATAAGTGATATTCATTCTGTAAATACTAGGAACAGACACAAGCTAGTAGTACCAGTTACTCGACTCCATCGAGTCAGTAATTCATTCTTGGGGCGATGTATACGCTTTTACAACAAAATTCCAGAAAATATACAAAGTTTGACCTGTTCTAAGTTCAAAAACTTTATTAAACTAAGTTTGTATAAAAAGGGTTATTATAATATTAAGGAATTTATGGATGATAATAACCCCTGGAAATGAGGTGATCGCTACCAAGCTATTTCTAATTTGTTGTGTTGTTAATTTGTGTAACATCATGATTGTAAGCTGTTATTTAAAAAAAAAAGTCCCGCTGGGTTTCTTGCTGGTTCTTCCCAGGACAGAGGTTTATTCCGAACCAGTGGTAATCAAACAAAATAGTGACTTTCAATAAGTATTATTTATAATCTATATTGAATAAAAAAGTTTCTGTTCTGTTCTGTTCTGTTCGAATCTATTTTTAAATGATATCTGTAAGAGCGTATACGTGTGTATCTCGAGTAGAATAAATTAATGACGTCGTCCCCAAAACAATTTCATGCAACGCCTTTTTTAATCTAACTTACATTACTGCAGCTAATGCTGAACCGGTGAACTTTTCCAATCAACTAGGTATTTATTTCGTTTATATTAATTCCTGTATATTTCATGTCTACGTATGACATTGAGGCTAAGAATGAAGTTTCTTCCTTCCTTTCTATATTTCATTCTTCTAATTATTTATTAAGTTTTTCTTTGTCGGGTTAGGTCGGGAATTGAGGGCGGCCCGATTCACTACCATACCCATTTTTAAAATTAAATTGAATACCAACCACCACTTTATAAATTTGTTTAGGTATTTTCATGTTATCGAAGCTAGCTTGAAGAGTGAAAGGGGCGCCATCCTCTCGCAAATTTACGAAAGCTATTGCGTAGGACCCGTCGGCAAGCTCGCGATTCCAGATCTGTAATCAATAGCGTAGTGGTTAAACGTTTGACTGCGAACTGCGGGTCCATATAAATAATTGTTTTAGGCCTTGTTATCTAGCTATATACAGAGATACATTTCGTCGTAAACATTCATATGGTACATGATGCAGTTTCGAGTAACGATCGTTAGCTCAGTAGTTGCGGCACTGCGGGTTCAAATCCTTCGGATCCATAAACAATATATGTATAATATGAACAATTACTTTAAAATCATAAAAATTCCCAAACATAATTTTGTTACAATTAAGACAAAACCATTTAAGACATCTATAATTAAATCTACAGTCTGCAGGGGTTTTCTTTTTTTTTAATGATAATAAGCTCACAAAATAAAAAATAAATATCCGTACTTTAAAACTATAACTTAATACAAAAATAACGTTACTGATATATTATAACGCAATGTCGTAATGATAGATAGATGAATCCATATAATCTTTATCAGCTTATCAGGAGACTATTTCTGAATTTGCCATATTTGCAACCGGAGTATTTTTTTTATTTTCGATTTGTTTTCAGAAAAATGCCGCGGCCCATCTCCTTTTTTATTTGCCTACTTCGCCTCTTTCCACACCCCCGATATAAAATGGAGTAGTGGATTTTTTAATACTATAACCAGTTAGCCTATTGCAGGATTATCTCCTTTATCGTGGAGACGGCTTACGTACATAGATTGCTCAAGGACACACATTTAGATCTAGAACAATTATTTGTAGGTCATTGAAAGACTTGTTCATTCAGCCACTGCTATACGGAGTTGTCAAATTACTGTAGATTAAGGGAAAATAATAATATAAAAAATAAATAAGGATGGAGTAAGACTTATAAACAATATTTCTAATTTATTGATTTCAACAAAATATTAATGATTTGCAAGGTGCTTTAAGATTTAACAGGGTTACATCATTACTTCAAGTGACAATTGTTAAAGTAATATCCTTTTACACATAAATACAATAAAGATAAAATTGATGTTCATCAAGGTCTTATCTGTGGACTACCTGTTTAGTAAATGGCTACTACTGCCTATGTACCAACATCAAATTTAAAAGCTACAGGAACACAGTCACCTCTGGGAACTAACATGGAATGCCTTACAGCATGTAATTTTAATGGGTCTTCAACTATACCCTTCAGATCGGACTAAAGCAGTGCACATATTGCAGTTTGGCGGCAGGAATACATACTTAAGAGGGCGTTACCCTATTAATTTGAATACGGCTTCATATTAATCAACAGGATCAACTTACAAGACCAAATTGCTATTAACTATCGATCAAGGGCTCAAATAACACAGCAATTCACCTCGCAATCCGAACCTGTCCACACGCGCTTGCCCTGCTTGCCTAGCGGATCCTGGTCGACGGCAATGACGTCTTCATTAAGCAGCACCTCTTTGAACTCAGGACGGATAGTAGCAAGGTCGACGCTCATGAGCAATGGCGCCGCTAATATCGACCACACCGCCATCTGCACGCGGGCTTGATCCAGCGAAAGACCAAAGTTTCCGATAATTAGCTGCAAGTAATATTACAAAATTATTTATAGCGCAATTGCTATTCTTTTTCGTCTTTATCAGCCCGTAGAAGTCTAGTTGGGCATGGGCCCCTTCTATTTTAGTCGTTTGCCATAATCAATACGCTTGGTTTAGATCAGGGGCAAAGTTAAACATATCAGGCCCCCTGCTATAAAAATATTTCGTTCCCTCTGCCGCATTATACTTATCTACTTTTGATTATTTTGTTTTTATGGGAGTTAACTCTGACGGTGACAGGACGAGCGTTAGTTCTTCCTCTACTTGAGTAAGCCCAAGTCGCATCGCTTTACACGAGTCATCCAGAATGTGAAACGTCTCTTGCGCCTGTAACTCTGCGTAAGTTCTGTGTTACAGGGTAGTTAATAAGGGTGAGAGTTCTAATAGATAGAAACCTGCGTAATATTTGTTTGGTTGGTTCCTTTGGTCTGCATGCACACCAAAGGAACCAAACACATTTTAATTTCTTATATTTGGCCCATGCAACTTACCAAGCAGATGTCACGCACCCTATTTTGCGGACGTCTCTGCGGCCCGCATGGGAGGCACCCCACTCACTTTAAAAAACCATTACTTAAGATGCTCCTTACGATACCCACGGCACAAAACGGTACGACTCATGTTAAACCTGATACTTAGCCCACTGCATGATATAGATACCTTATGCGCAGGACAAAACAGGACAGTAAACGTAGGACCGCTTGCGATTTGGTCCCTGTTATTCATTGGGATACCTTCATTTCGGTTATATTTAAGAGGGTTAATGCTTCCCAAAATTAAGGTTGTAATAGAACTTTCTTTAAATTTATTTGATCATCTTTTAAGGTACACAAGGAGATATAGGAAACTCTAAACATATATGATGTAACTTTAATGTTTGTTAATATTCGAGTAGCAATCAAACTGATAGTTTGCCTGCTGTTAATTAGATACAAAAAAGTAATGCTAGAGATGTATGGTCACTATAGATTAACATGAAAAGTATCACAATCTGTACAGTAATTACAGTGGCACGCCTGCCGTATGTTTAAGAGACGACACCTGATTATCACAATTATGAATTAATGCAACTCCGGACGAGATTTTTCGTTTTTAAATCGTAATAACATTGCTACCAATATATGACTGTTTTTAAAATTACATAGATACATATACTATAATAAATGATGCTTCCAGTCCTTCCATCACCGTGATAGTCTATTAAAAGTCCACTGATGAACATAGGCCTCCCCATAGATTTGCCTCATAGGGGCAAATGTCAAAAAAAATTGTCATAGTTGCTACGGTTGGCAGGCGGGTTGGCAACCGCAGTTTTTAATTATCCAGTTATGAAGTAGACGTTTTCGCCCATCTCCTGGTTTGTTTCCCTCTGTAGCCTGTTACAACACCCACGGAACGATATGATGTAGTGTATATTCTTACACCGCCACTACACGGTAAAATGCTTAAAATCGAATAACTTCGTTTTCATTTACCATATCAGGATCGTTCCAATGTCCGGGACCGGCGTACTTCACCAACTCGTCTTGATTTTCGGCAAACCATTGCATAATATTTTTCACTGACGTCCAGGAATCATCGATGTCTCGGTAATTACGCCACAGGTTGCAGTGTTTCGCGATCGAAGTATAATTCGGCTGTATACAAAAATAAATTACAGTCTATGATTCAATAATAATAATAATCTCTACACCAAAATTCGGTCAGTCAGTTTCAATGGAGACTAGCCAATTATGCAGAACAGGATTATAGTGCTCGAGTGTGTGCGCAAACACAGGGGCACTCTCTATTCCGTCCTTCTCGTAGTCTTATGTGACGGCAATCTGACATGACGGGAGAGAGATCAGGTGCAGAACTAACGTCTTTACGTGCTTTCTGAGGTACGTGGGTAACACTGCCAACTTCCCGACTCTGGGTTGCTACTGAGAATTTCTTACCAGGAAAACCCAATAACTAATGATTTTGACCTGATTCGAGATTCGTACCCGGGACCTCAATTTCATCAGTCGCGTTTACGATCACTAAGCCTAAGAGGCAGTCATAAGATTTTAGATTATTATACATTACGTGAATTACGCAAACCTCACATAAAATCCAACATTTATTAAAAAAAATTGCCTGTCTGTCTGATCAAATTATTAAAGTAGACGACTTGTTGTAATGTGTTAGTTGCCTTAATATATCATCATCATCATCATCATTACAGTCTATCACAGTCTACAGGCCTCCCAATCATTTGGTAGGCGGGTTGGCAACTACATATTTTAATAATTTCAGTTGTTATCAGGAGGATGCTGCTGTCCATCTCTCATTCCAGTTTTCCTAGCTTATAAGTACTACATAGGAAATCGATATTTATATTCTCTTAATTCTTTTTTTTTTTTATAGGATCGGGTGACAAACGAGCACACAGTCCACCTGATGGTAAGTGGTTACTGTTACCCATAGACATCTACATCTATCCTCAATAAAGACTCAAGATGCAGATGCGTTGTCACCCGTGAGGACTAAGATGGAATGCCTCTTTGCCAGTAAAAAGGGTCTCCGGTTCTCTACACTCACCATACGAAACACAGCAGCGTTAAGCTGCTATTTTACGCTGGTTTTCTGTGAGAGCGTGGTCCTTCCCCGGTGGAGCCGACCCATTCGTGCTACAACCATAATATAGCTGCAGCATGGCTCTACCACGTAAATTCTAATAACATTGACGTTTACTCACGTTGTCGTGGTACGCTGGCCAACTGCAAGAGTATAGGATGGGACGACCGGTCTCATTCAACAACTTTCCAAAAGCGGGATAGCCTGGATCATTACAATTTAGATCATTATGTATTTAATTAGTACGAAAAGGTTGTACTGAAATTTTCGATTCCTCAGTCACATATGAAATAAGCACAATTGTATAACAACTCTGAAAGTAAAATTTTTTAGAATAAACGTAAACACAAACAAGCGTGTTTACTATGGCAATATCCCCTCTATGAGGCAATCTATGAGGGAGTCCCATGTTCAGTAGTGGACTTTTATAGGATGTAGTGGATAGAAAACTCCAATGCTGCACATATGCACCTAAAACTGTGTTGATAGTTGCAAATGATTTTAGATGTAAACGTGTTTATGCGTGTTCTTACAATAAGTTGATCAGGGATCAGAATTTGTTTCGGCGTCACTTGAAATGTACGTAGCGCTCCACCCATCTTTCTTTGTTGCTCTGAACCTAAAATTGGAGAGGCCCTTGTACAACAGAGAACTTTAACCAGCTGATGAAGAAGAAGAAGAACTAAGTAACTACTGCAGATCTCATGATTAAGGATGACAAATGATCAGGTAGACTGTGAACTTGATGGTCAGACGATGCTGTGATCTATAAACACCTACATGGATAATCAAAATGTAGATGCGTTGTCATTCCTGACGAATAAGACGGATTGAATCATATTCTGTTATTATAATGGATCTCTTTATACTAGACACGAATGTGCACTCTATTCCCTGACTCTCATAGTCCAATGGGACGGCAACCCGACACGACCGGAAAGAGATTCGGCGCAGGACCAATGGCTTCGCGTACCGTCTGAGGCACGGAGAAACACCGTCAACGTCCGGGCTCCGGGCTGCTACAGGGAATTTACTGACTAAAAACCCAGTAACTGGTTTAGACCCACCCGGGATTTGAACCTCCAACTAGGCACAGGCGTCCTTTTATAGAAACGCTGTTGATCCCATGAATCGATAGTCTACAACTAATTGCACAAATACTATAGAGACTTTAACTAGCACCTTTTACGCATTCCCAATTGGAGGCGGCCAATTGTTTACATACATAACATATGATCCAGGGGCTTTACGAGTACCTCTTCCCCAAGGTACCAAAGTCATACCATACGGTGCCAAGTAATATTATCATTAATAGTTCGCTTTCTGTACTTACCAGTATCATATTTGCTTGGATCCACATAGCAACCGTCCAATTTAATGTAGTCCACTTCCCACTCGGCGAAGGTTTTGACATCTATCTCCTCATAACCGAGAACACCGGGGTATCCAGCGCAGGTATTTGTGCCGTAATCTTGATATATTCCGAACTTTAAGCCTTTGCCATGGACCTAATTTACAGTACACAAGAACATTTAGAAGTCTGGTAAAACTGTATGTAATATAAAATTAAACAGTTTTAAAACTGGAAGTATAATATTCAGTGATTCCCTAAATTATCGGTTCTTCTTTTATACAATAATTAGATTTCAAAGACTTCTATATACCTACGAGTATACTACTACGGTACAAATGCATGGGGCATTAAGTTACGGTCAATTCTCCGTAATCTTTGCCACGTAAGCTAACCACAGCTGTGACACAGTTTTTGTTCTGAATTGCCGATCTAGTAGTGTTTAAGTCTAGAAGTCTTTGTTAGATTGCTATAACGTATCGCACATTAGAGTCTTCAATAATACAATTATTCAATCTGATACATTGTAAGCATTTTGAAAATATTACGCTATATCGTCCCGTAGACATCGTTAATTATGAATAGTTATCAGGAATACAAATAAATTTCATTCTTAGCACTATTATGCTGGTAAAAGTATTTCAATTAAGTATATAATTATATCTATCAGGTGACATGAAACAGCGTCTATAGTCTGTTGTACTAAAAGATGCGATCACATCACAACCGCAGAAGAGCAACAAAATGTTTTTAACTAGTTTATTGTAACACATTTTATTACATCAGCAGTCTTCTTTTGTTTAACTCAGGCCGTTCCATAAAATGCCACACGTAGAATGCACCATTACATTCAATATAATTAGATTTTTTGAAGTAATGACTTAATACATTTTAACACTTATATAAAATATATCTAGCAAGGATCTTATTGTAATTGTGATTATTTGTCACGTGTGACAAGCATAAAGTATTTGGGAGTTATTGTTGATGAAGGGCTTAGCTGGGTCCCACAAGTAACTGCTCTAGCGAGTAAAACAAGGAGGCTAGTTTACAATTTTAAAAATTTACGTGATGTGGCTAGTTATGATGTATTTTTGCTAACCTTTTTTTTTTTACATGGGGAAATGTCTACGCATTCCCGCCTCGCGGGTGTAAGGCCGGGTTATGTCAGACTCGCACTAAAACCCCATGGTATTCCACCCTCGTCGCATATTGGTATGGCCACGGGAACGCTTTCGCAAACATCCGCGGCCCCACCTGCGCTGGCCGCCCCATGGCGGCCTCTCCTCAAGAGAGGTCTACTCCTCCCCCATCTCCTTCTCAGGTAAGGTGCACCATGAACACATGGTGCGCCCTCCTCCTCGGCCTCCAACTAAACATGCGCAACGGACGCCCCCGTGTCCGATGCGCGAAGACCATGGGGCCAGGAAAAACTAGCACTCAGAAGCACCAGCCTTCCTGACCCCAGCGGCGGATCTGGTCTATGGCTCCGCCGCCAACCAACATTCGGCTGCGGAGGGTAGGGAGAGCGGCGCCTCGCAATACCGGCACTCCTCTCCCCCCGCAGCCCCACCACCACCGCATCAATTAACGGTGCGGCCCCGTTTGAGTCGCGGAGGATAGGGCGAGTGGCGCATCGCCATACCAACACTCCTCTTCCTCCGCGACTCCACCTCAGCTGCAGCGGTAGAGGGAGCGGACTACCCCTCTCACCGCAGCCCACCGGCACACATCCGAAGTGGGCTCGTGAAGCCCACTCGGAGGGGCCACCTTGGGCCGGCCCTACACCACGGGGCAGCCAAGGGGTTCCTCTTTGTTCGCGGGTGACCAAGCCACGGCTACTAAGCCCCCCCGCCACAACAAGGTGGGAACCCGTTCGTGGGGGGGGGGGGGGGGGGGTCTTTTGCTAACTTATAGGTTCCTGTGTGAGAGCATTATTTCATATTGTTGTTGTGCCTGGTCTTCCACCCGTACCTAGGGTCAGGACAGTGTTTGCAAGAAAAAGCTACAACTGTTGTGCACCATTGCTCTATAATAAATTATTTAACAAAGTTAAAACTGTTATTAATAAAAATGTTAAAACTTAATAACCACGAATTTAAGAAAGTTATAAAACAAACTCTTATCGGCTTGAATTACGATGTGATTAAAGATTTGTTCATGAAGATCATTTAATAACACACACACGCTCACACACACACACACACACACACACACACACACGTGCGCGCGCGCGCGCAACTTGGCCTTAGAATAGAATTAGTAGGTACCATATTATTACTTTTTATATTATTTTTACTATAATACTAATATACATTATAATACTTTGACAATAGATGGGGAAGTCTGAGGCCTATAGCACAGTTTTAACTAACGCAGGCTTCAGGGCTCAAAAATAACTGTAACTATAATGTAATGTATGTTAAATCAATTTCCTTTCATTTCAATTTCAACTACTATGTGTTTGTTACATTTTTAAAGAGCAATGATTAACTTAATACTGTAAAAGAAACAAAACTAAAAACACAAAGCAAAAATAATGTAATATACGGTACTAGAACCTGATGATCATAAGACTTACGTAGTCAGCAAGCGCCTTAATGCCGCTCGGAAAACGTTGACGATCCGCCACCATTCGCTTGTTAGCGTCTCGCTTCTCCTCCAGCCAGCAATCGTCGACTGCTACATAATTGTAACCAGCGGCTAGATAACCTTCCTTCTCCATTATGTCTGTGGTCCTCTTTATTAAGGATTCGCTGCGGTGGAAACGTATTGTTTAGTTCCATGTCAATAAATAAAGATACAATCTCCGCCAAACCGGTAATGATAGACTAGAAATGGTGTTATTCCTCTGCCAGATCCGAAGCCCTTGAGGTGACATTAAAAATGGCGATGTCTCGAATGTGATTTTATGTCATCGTGATAGGACAGTAAGAATGCTAGGGGAAGCAAGTCCCGCCCGGAATGTGATTACTAATACCGCGGTAGGCACAGGTTACGCTCCAAACGAACTTTCCAGAATTCCCCCTACCGTTATGATGGTGACCACCACGGAGTTTGAAGCGGTACGTGTCCGGTAGTGTAGCCCACTAAGCAAGGCTTGTTCCATAAGATTTTCCCCACATAAAAAAAGTTTTTTAGAATGTAACAAATTGATAAGAATGCACATCATATTTGCTTGGTAATCAAATGAAGTAATCGTGTAAACTAGACCATATATTAATATGAAAAATTATAATATGTTAAAGTCGTTAGTTAAAATTTAGTTCGTAAGTATAAGCGTAACGTTTCTACTCTTATAAAACTTTGTTCTCAACCAAAAGGTTTTCGAATTTTATTTCTGTAGTTAACAATAACATGTTTTTTTTGTACGCTAATTAAAAACAATTTCATCAAGCCAGTATCAACAACAATTTGTAAGTTCTATACGGTAATTCATTTTAAAATTAATTTTAATAATTATGTAATTTTTTTTTAAATTTAACGTATCGCTTTAGTATTGTAAGAATTATCAATAAAATAGTGTTTCAAGTAATAAGCGTACTAAAGAATCTTATATTTAAATCTTCCTCTTATAGAATGTACATAGCCTATGGATTTTGTGTCAATTTGCGTTGATGCGTGTGTTACAACATAACAGTATACTCGTATGTATAATCGGGACTCTTCCAAGTAATGGTGGTTAGGAGGCAACCGTACCTAATACACCACTTCGTATGAGCGTTCATGTTTTTTTTGGCATGACATATTTAAGATTACCACTTGCTTAATGACACGTCATGAGTTCAGGATTTTAAGTTCAGGGTTTTGCACAGATATCCGTTACAGATATCTGTGCAAAACCCTGAACCTTGTGCTTTTAGATCTGTATGTAATTACTGCGCATGTCGCGGAAACTGAATCCAAACCTACCCTTCAATCTTATATCGGCATGAGTTATGTCGGCTTTCGGAATATTAGGATAGTAGTGTATTTCCATTTATTTGCATTCAAAGATTCATTTATAGAAGAATTGTTAGTTTAGGCCAGTACAACTATCAGAAACGGAAGTTTTCCTCTAGGACTTCATTCAGCGATTATCACCCGCCGCAGATACCGCGACACTCGCAAAATATAAGAAATGTAGGCATATGACTATGGTAAATTTTACGACGCTATCTATATCGCTGGTGTGTGCGGTTTTTAGGTTGTTAGCGGCTACCAGGCAATAGTATAATAATATAATATATTCAACTGCCAGTGATACCCGCGCACTGTGCGTTCGTATACCGCGAGTGACGCGGGTGTAGATGCGGTAAGTATCGCCCCGTGAGTTCTTAGCCTACCTGATTGAAATGTACTTAGTGAATATCATGAACGTTTAAAGAAACATGAACAGAATAGAATAGAATAATTTTTTATTCAATATAGATCACATGTGTAATTCTTATTGAAAGTCATTTTTTTACTTTACCACTGGTTCGAAAAAACCTCTGTCCTGGGAAGAACCATCAAGAAACCCAGCGGGACTTTTTTAAAGCAAATTTTACAATAATGGTTGTACAAACTATATAAGTACAAAATTCATTTTAGAAACAGCTTGGAAGCGATCATCTCATTCCCAGGGGTTATTATCAGCCATGTATTCATTTATACTATAATAACCCTTTTTATACAGTTTCAACTTAACAAAACATTTAAACTTGCTAATAGAGAGAGCCTGTACACTTTCCGGGACCTTGTTGTTATAGCGTATACATTGCCCCAAGAATGAATTACTGACTCTGTGGAGTCGAGAAACTGGTATCACTAGCTTGTGTTTGTTCCTAGTGTTTACAGAATGCACATCACTTTTTTTACTAAAACTACCTTTGTTTTTGTGAACATACATTAAATTTTCGTAAATATACTGAGAGGCCAAAGTTAATATATTTATTTCTTTAAATTTATCTCTAAGATACTCTCTCGGTTTTAGGTTGTAAATAGCTCTAATGGCCCTCTTCTGTAAAACAAAAATAGTTTCTGAATCAGACGCATTTCCCCATAGCTAAATCCCATAAGATATTATGCTATGGAAATAACTGAAATAAACTAATCCAGCTGTCTCGACACTAGTGAGACCTCTAATCTTTTTTACAGCATAGGCTGCAGAACTTAGTCTGCTTGCTAGTTTGGATATATGGGGGACTCACTGAAGCTTTGCGTCGAGGGTGATGCCAAGAAAAGCAGTGGATTCAACAGGGCTCTGTTCTTCCCCATTTAAAAACACATTGGTACTCAGATTTTTAACATTCGTTGTTGTAAATTTAATACATTGAGTTTTATTTCCGTTTAAATGTAGATTATTAACGTTAAACCAATGCACTAATTTTGATATAGCATTATTCACCTCGTCACATTTAAATGATAGACGTTTAAGCTTAAAAATCAAGGAAGTATCATCAGCAAATAATACTATATAATGATTATCCTCTACAAGAGAAGGTAAGTCATTAATATACACTAGAAATAGGAATGGGCCGAGAATCGAGCCCTGAGGGACACCCATTAGTACAGGTGAGCCGGAAGAACTTTTACCATTGATAATAACTTTCTGCATTCTATTACTTAAATATGAAATAATAAGTTTAAGCGCTGTGTTCTTGACACCATAGTACTGCAGCTTCCTGATTAATGTCTCATGGTGAACGCAGTCGAAGGCTAAAATATATAGACGTAGAAAAGTCGATAGATGCAATTGACTCAGGGCAGTTCTATTATGGCGTGGCTTGAGAGTGTCCTTTGTTCAGCAGTGGTCTTTTGATGGGCTGTAATGATGATGATGATGATGATAATGAGGCATAGAAAATATCAAACTGTGTTTATTACCTTATACATTCCTGGGGGTATTTCTTACAATCGATGATACATCGGAATCGTTCCCACGTAAGCCAACCCATAGGTGGTGTTAAAGCTAAGCCGTTGTCAAGTGCTAAAGCCGAAGATAACAGCTCCAAGAACACAAACCACAATATCTGTAATAAAAAGTACCATCTTAACAACATTGTCTTCATGAATTATTGACTCTTTGGAGTCGAGTAACTGGCATTAACAGCTTTAGTAGCTCCTACTGTTTACATATTATATTTACTTAATTTCAAAACTACTTATATTTTTAAGTAGATTACGTTTTTATGTTAAGAGGTCTTTAGGATTAGCACCTAACATTCGTTATATATTATGCATTCTGCAATGCACAAACTGCATATTTTGACGAGAGCCCTCACTGGAAATTGTTGTTTAAAAATCACATGGCCATTTTGGGGCTAAGCAATTCAAGGATTTTACATTCTATTCGCTAGCGGAAGATCACCTTTACACATCCTAAACGTTTAGGAACTGTTTTCTTTGCGTTCGATACGCAGCATGATGATACGAGAATGATATCCGGAAATCAACCTAAAACCTCTGAAGTCAAATTTCACAACCTGGTAATAGGCAACAGAAGCATCACTAGCACAAGGATATACTTTACTACGTGCTCTCAAATTCGCCTGTATGACATAAGCGAGAGTGTTTGCTCGTTGTGTAAGCGCACCGTTGAATTTGGACCATCTTCAATAAATCGCTAATTTAGTCCCAATACTGAGACGAAATGAGACGCGCGAAAAAGGTAAAAGGTTATATAAATTAAGCAAAAGAGCTAATACTTGTGCAATAATACAAATTGTTGGTTTTAGGGTTTAGTTCAATTTAATTGAACTCGATTCTCTAACACTGCTTCCTTGTGTACCTTTGGTCTCAAAAAAGCGTTATATTAAGCACGCGTAAGAGTAATTACTGATGGTAGGTGCAGGTGGTAGGGCTCGTTTTCTGCCTAGGTCTCCACTGCTTTGTTCCGGTGCGAAGGTTATAGAGAACAAGACAGGGGTGACGACGCGTCTGCAGCCTTCTTTGTGTCCATGGATCGCAGTGGCCACTGACCACTAGGGAACTGTAAATTAGTTTGTTACTTCAGCTTTATAAAAAATAGTAAAAGAGCTCAGAGCTTCTTGCCGGTTCTTCTCTGAGCTGTTGTTTTGGGAACCGGTCTAGATTTTGACATTCATAAGAGCCCTACCGTGGGGTCAAAATTTAAATATGTTTGTTCAGGTATCATAAAAAGGAACAAAGGCATTCTTTGCCAAATTTAGAAAAGGTACAAACATAAATATAGTCAATAAAAGTTGGGATATATGTGCAATGGTTTTTTTTAATAAAAACAAAATATCTTAGGTACATTAAGTTTAATATTATAGTATGAAATGAACATGTTAAACTGATTGGAAATCAATATGTAAACATTTTCCTTTTGGACTCTAAACTACTTTTCTTATTTAATTAATAGAATCAGGCGTTACTTTGCGGAAATCCATAACTACCTATTATAACTCCAACCATACCTATACCGACTTTTCATTATTACCTATTATAATGAGATGTTTGTTTTTTTAATGATTTCAGGGACATAAGGCGTCCTGCAAGGGCATTTGTAGAGTAGTAGTTAAAGTCAAGATCCGGGACGGCTCAGAAAATCCTAGACTGTTGGCAAGCCCAGGCCTTATCCTTAACTAAAAGCCTCAGTGCAAAGTCTTGGCTGGGCGGTGCGGAGTGTAATGGCGTGCTTGGAATACATTTTCTAGAGGTCGTCCCGCCGGCTTTATGCTTGTTACTTCATTACAACACTAATGATGCCTGCTGCACATTAATTTTAACTAAAATTGTAGC